AATCAATCAGAAGCACATAAATACTAAACAGATGAGCAAGGTTGATTGGATTTGCATTAGGAGCATCACAAAGTGCAGTCATGCTTAAGGGCAAAGTATCTGAAGAGCCAGTGCTAGTTCGAATTCTATTAAAATTCTATTTCAGAATTTTCTGTAAATCAGATGCAAATTAAAAAATGTGTTCTTTGTATTTTTATTTTTTGTAGTTTTTATGTTCCACATGTGCTGAAGCTGTTTGCAGTGTCAGCTAGAAAACATGATGTGCATGCTGATAACTGAATCAAATAGATAACAAATCAATAGATAACAATAAAAAAAAGGTCTCATGTGAGAACAAGTGCATCCTGTTTCCAGAGGATAAAAAAAACTGCATGCTTTATTTTTATTGCTTATTGTTTTGGTCGGGTAAAAAACTGTAATCGATTTAGCAAAACAACAATTGATGGTTCATTTCAGCTAAATATTTAGCTCTGCTACGTGCAGAAGTCATGAAGATGATTATGATGATGATGATGATGATCATGATAAAGATGATTGGTTTTATAAACTTTTTGCAGTATCACAGTTACTAGATTGTGCTCTTTGTTGTATAGGGACTGAACACACAGACACTATTAGCTTATAATAATGTGCAAAGCACTACAAACTAAAAGGCTGAGTAAACTTTACTTTGTTGTTAATGTATTTTGTTGGAGTTGTAAAAAGATTCACACTTGAGGTCGTGAACACTTGGGCCATTTTGTGGAAACGTAGGCTATCATGTAAGTGGTCAAATGTAATGTAAGTTGTGAAAAGACTGCAAGTTTGGGTATCAGAACATACTATTTTTAAAGAAAATCATGAGTACCTTACAGACTACAGACAAAAAACAGCTCCATTAAGTGCTCTTAACATGTACTTACACTGAAATTAATCATTTGTTACAATGTATTTATTGTGTAAATGCAAGTTTTACATTGTACTGAAACTACAGTTACAGTTATGTTGTACTTATTATTGATGAAATTCTGACATGTACATCTGTAATAAATTTCTGATTAAATTAAAGTACACTGTTGACAATCTCTTACACCTTTACCCACTCTTAAACCAACCCATGCCACCAAACCTGTCCCTAACCCTACCCGCATCCCATCTCAAGAGCACTATAAGTATTCTGCAATACATTACGAACCCAGTAAATACATGTTTATGTATTCATGTATTTATTTATTGCTTTTTTATTCCACTATATTTGTTAAGGCCGCCTAATACAGTGGGACCAAAAAACAATTTATTTCATAATGTGTAAAACCTTCATCTTAATTTTATTCAAATTTCTAAATGTACCGTTTAACAGGACTCATTTATTTACTTATTGTTTGTGAATATAATGAAAATAATCTGGATCATATAAGTGTCAGTGTGGTTTTTGAACAGGGCAGAAAGTGCTCTGTGTCACTGTGACTCTCTGGCGCAATAATACACAGCTGTGTCCTCAGTCTGCATATTCTGTCCACTCAGAGTCACGCTGCTGCTGGAAGAGTCTCTGCTAACTGTGAATCTACTTTTCAGTTTATCACTGTAATATGTGTTACCACTACCACATATTGCCCCAACCCATTCCAGAGCTTTTCCTGCAGCCTGTCGTATGAAGTTTGTGCAATAGCTGCTGTCAGTCACTGAATATCCAGAGATTTTACAGGACAGAGTCAAAACCTGACCAGGCCTCAAGACAATAGAATCTGTCTGGGTCAGTTCAACACAGTGGACACCTGAGGAAGAAATATGTCCTGAAAGGTTAGAGATGTGAAAATTTTGTGATGTGATCATTTTTAACATTTCCATAGACACTATAAAGACTTACGAGAGACAGCTGCAAGAAGCAGAAATAAGCAGAGAGATGAGGTGATCATGGTTTCAGACATTAGAGGACAATAAGCTGCGTTCCGTTATAACATTCAATAAAAGAGGAAGAGAAAGATTTGCATACACCTGCATATGTAAAACGGTAATAAGCATCCAAAGTATCGTTTTACAAATGTACACTGTGCGCTTTGTTCTCATTTTCCTTTTTCAAAAGATGAAATTAACATGATTATAAATAAGGGTGGATTGTTTATTAAGACTAAATGAGGACACGTTTAATGGCTTTTAATGAAATAGCATTTAAGGAGACAATTCGCACAAAGATAAAAATACTCTCATTGTTTATTCATCCTCCACTTGTTTTTTCTTCCGTTGATCCCCAAAAAAAATTTTTTTTAATGTTAAAAACTGTTAGTCATTGACTTTTATGGTGTCTTTTCCCTTGTCTGGTTTCCAACATTTCTCAAAATATCTTCTTTTCTGTTCAACAGAAAAGGTTTATAATCACATGAGGTGACAGTAAATAGTCATTTTTTAATTATTATTTTGAGGTGAACTATCCCTTTAAATAGCTTATTTTTTAAAATACAATATTTCAGCAGCAAGTCTTTCTTTTTAATATAAAATTTGTTCTCCAGCGCCATCTGCTGGTTTTGAAGATGTTGTTTTTCTGTTTTCTTCCCTGGCATGTTTTTGTACAGTCTGGTGTTTATTTTTGAATAATTGTGTGTACCTTGCACAGTAATAAACAGCTGAATCTTCAGTTTTCAGACCAGAGAGTTTGAGATACACCATGTTGTTTGAGTTGTCTCTGGTGATCTCTATTCGTCCCTCAACACTTTTTGCATACACTGTTTTACTACCATCACTCCAGATAACCCCAATCCAGTCCAGTGCTTTCCCTGCAGGCTGTCTGATCCATTGCATGCCATACTGTCCAAAATCAAATCCAGATCCTTTACAAGAGAGATTTAAAGTTTCTCCAGGCTTTTTAGTCACAGAACTTGAAGGGATGGACTCCAGACTCTGACCATTTACACCTACAACAACTGAAAATTACAATGACCTGTCAGCATAATCATATACAGTACATTCATTACAGAAATGTGTGGCCAGAATAGATATTAATATATATAAATAGACTGTCTATACATTCTAGTAAAGCACAGCAGCAGAAAAAAGAAAAGAGAAATGTTTGCCATTGCAAATGATGCAGGAAAATAAACTGATAAATGTCAGTGAACGCTGCTGGTAGAAATAATGTATATAATCTCATTTACATTTTGGTGGAGCTTCAAAGTCTAATAGTAAGATCTAACAGTAGGTTAACACACAATCACTTCTGCATTTTTTTAATATAATGTTCGTTGCAGCAATTTTCTAAATCATCCTTAAATGAGAACATTCAAAGCTTCAATAGTTTTTTCATTATTATTTTGGAGATGACTGAGTATTTCAGTAATTCCCTTTCCCATTTCTGTTTTATTGATTATCATACCCACATCATCATATATACATAAACATAAGAATCCCCCAGTTTGTCAGTTCAAAAAGTATCAAGCATCCAATTAATGTAAAAAGCAATCCTGCTCTTTTTTTTTAGTCTGCTAAGTAAAATATTTAGATTCATTTTTTACTTTGTTTTACTAAACCATTAGTTTATTTCCTTATTAGTTTGTTTCAGTACTAATAAAAAATGCTTCCTTGATAAATTGCTGTTATTGATGTTTTATGTGAAATTAATGCTTGAATAACTTCACTCTGACTGCACGTTGCTAAAGATTTAAGCTCTTCATTGTACTATTCAATTACACCAAATATACACACAGTTAGGTCCACAAGTCATTTCTCATCATACAGTATATCAGTTTCTTTTTTGTTACTTAATGTTACAAATTTGCAATATTAATGAACCCTTATACATAAAAAGCATTTATAATATTACAAAAAAAATTATTATAATGAGTTGAAGAGGAATGTTAGTATTGCTATAGTGCAGTTTATCTCTGAGACCTTTAGTATTTGAACAGAGCTTTGTGTTTTGTATCACTGTGGTATTTCTTTCTGGCGCAGTAATACACAGCTCTGATCTCAGTCTGCATTTTCTCTCTACATATTCTCTCTATTGCAGTTAGGAGAAGTGTCTCTGCTAACTGCAATATGAAGCAGTTAGGTCAGGGGTGTCAAACTCAATTCCTGGAGGGCTGAAGCCCTGCACAGTTTAGTTCTAACCCTGCTTCAACACACTTACCTGTAGGTTTCAAACAAGCCTGAAGGACTCAATTAGTTTGATCAGGTGTGTTTAATTAGGGTTGGAACTAAACTGTGCAGAGCTGCGGCCCTTTTGGAACTGAGTTTGACACCTGTGAGTTAGGTGTTAAAATGAAATCCAAAGTAAATCACAAACTTGAAATATTTTGCTATGGTTACACTGAATTAGTTACAAAAGAAGTGCACGAAATTATAAAATAAAAACAAAAATTATAAAAAAAATAAAACATAATTTTAATTGTGTAAAAAATTAAATGTAAAAGGTTACTAGAGAAAGAGAGAGACAGGGGGTGGGGAAAGCGAGACAAGATGTAGAGTACAGCTTAAAGAAAGAGCCAGAGAGAAGAAAAGACAGAGCAATAATTGCAATCTACTTTTGTCTCTTCCTTGAGTATGTGACCAAATATCAAACAATATTAGACACTCAATCTGACCTATCAAGAAAGAGCTTCATCAATATGTAACCACACTGCACCCCACCCCCCATCCCCCACTTAAACACACAAACATATCAGCCATTTTTATCAACATTTCTGTATATTTGGGAACTGTCTGGGCCCTGTTAAAGAAAAAGACATGGTTTGCAACAGAAACAAATGCATGAGATTATTTTCATCCTTTCAACATTGTCATCATATTCTGTATTTTTAGTCACTGCTGTTACTTCTAGAGTATAAACACACTAAATAATATGTAATTGGAACTGCAAATCTACACAATAGATAATAGAGTTGAAGAAAAGTATACAGATTTCCTTTAGACTTTTTAAAATATTTGATCTTTTGTATTATTATTCACTGTAACTTCAATGGTTCACTGTGACAGAACAAGGATGTTTTATTCTCTGCTGCCACCTGTTGATCTTCAGTGAGGAGAGATGAAACACTCACAGTGGTTTTTGTTCTGCTCTACAAGATCTTTGTGTCACTGTGATTGTCTTGCACAGTAATACACGGCTGAATCTTCTGCTGTGAGGCCTGATAGTTTCAGATATGTCATACTCTTTGAATTATCTTTGGTGATTTCAGCTCTTCCTTTGAAGGACTCAGCATAGCCATAGCCAGTGCCTCCAATCCACACAAGAGGTTTTCCAGCTTGTTGTCTAATCCAGTGCATGTAATAGGAGCTAAAGCTGAACCCGGATCCTCTACAGGACAGAGTCAGAGTTTCTCCAGGCTTTTTCTGCACTGAGCTTTCAATTGACTCCATACTTTCACATTTTATACCTAAAAAGAAAATGCTGAATTAATTTGTAATGTTTATCCTAGAACCAATAATAAATGTGTTTTATAAGAAAACTCACGCTGTAGACTTAACAAGAGCAGCAGTAAGCAGAGAGCATTCTTCATCTTGAGGCTGATGTTAATGATCCTGATCCAATCAGAAGCACATAAATACTGAACAGATGAGAAGGGTTGATTGAATTTGCATTGGGAGCATCACAAAGTGCAATCATGACTAAAGGACAAAGTATTTAAAGGGCCAGTACGAGTTTGAGTGATCAAATTTCAGTCTTTTTGTTGACCCTCTGTTGACTTGTATGACTAATACAAAATTTTCTAAAAATTAGATGCAAATTACAAAATGTGTTATTGGCACTTTTATTATAAGTAGATATTTCCTCCACGTGTTCTCAGATTGTTTGCAGTGTCAGCTATGAAAACACGATGCATATTTTGATAACTGAATCAAACAGTTTAGACAACAGTAATAAAAACAAACAGAAAATAAAGGCCTCATGTGACAACAAGTGCATCCTGTGTCTGTTAAACTCTAATGTCGTTTTTCTATTTTCCACAGGAATAAAAAAACATGGTTAAAACATAAGTAACATGTCTCTTGCACAAAGGAGAATATGTGCATTTTATAGGATGATCGAAGCTGCTTTTTTGTTTGCAGCATCAAAGTTACTAGATTGTGCTGTGCATTTTATAGGAACTAAACACACAGGCACAAACTTATAATAAAGGACAAACAAGATGAAAGAAAAGTCTTTTTTGTCGACAGAGCATATCTATAAAGCTAAGTTTACACATCTGATTATTTAATATAAGATGCAGAATATGCATATTGAGCTTAAATCAATGCGTAGCTGTTATTGTAACTTGTGCCTTTAAATACAAATGAGCTGCTTCTCTCCATCCCGTTCCCACATGTGCGTCTGCTTTTACTGCATTCCCTGAAACAGCAGTCAGAGACAGAGACAGACACGGATGAAGCAGAAATCCAGCTTATTAGTCAAAAATACCAAGTTAGTTTATTTGATGTATTTGTGATGGAATTTATTCAAGCCTTTCTGCAACGATGAGCCACCCACAAATGTTGTTACAAAGTTTGCAGTACACACACAAACAAACATATACACGCGTTTACTGACACTATGTGGCCTTGGTGATTCCATTTGTTATAATTTTTAGTAACAATTTAACTATCTTGATAACATGGACTGTTTTAAAAACGTGTTAAACTTGTAAGACTCATTCTTGAGATCATAACAGATATTTTAATTCCAGATCTATTAATTCGAGTTTCTTTGCAAATGCTCTTCTGTGAACATTTTTAATGTGTTATTAATGAGACATATTAATAATATGCACCTCTCAATCAATTCGGTGGGTGGGGAAAACCACACTTCCATGTCAAGTTACGGTAATTCTCTGAAAATTAGATCCTATTTTAACGTCGGCAAAAAAAAAAAAGAGAGAGACTTGTGTTTACATCGCTCCAATGGACAGTGGACACACTATACCTACAGTTCTGTCCAGCTTCCATATTTTAATGTTGCTTTTTAAATTTGCCCTTTAAATGTGCAAAGCACTTCAAATCAAAAGGGTAAAAAATCTTTAAACTTTGTTGCAAGTGTGTTCAGTTGGGTGGTTTAAAAAATTTAAAATTAAAAACACTTGGGTCAAACTGTGGAAATATATTATGTAAGTGGATAAAAAGCCATGTGCATGTACACACTGTAAGTTTGTGTATCAGAGCAGATTAAGAGAGTGTCACGAAAATGCAAAAGTCATAATATTTTGTAGAAATGTATTAAAAGTTAATTTTCTTCTCATGAAAAAATACCATTTCATAATGCCTGAAACCTCTTAAATTGTATTCAAATTTCTAAATGCACCATTTTACAGAACTCTTTTATTTAATTGTTGTTTGTGAACTCTGTAAATTTGTGTGGCGAGTGTCAGTGGTGGTTTTTGAACAGGAAAAAAACAGCTTCGTGTCACTGTGTTTGTCTGGCGCAGTAATACACAGCTGTGTCCTCAGTCTGCATATTCTGTCCACTCAGAGTCACGCTGCTGCTGGAAGAGTCTCTGCTAACTGTGAATCTACTTTTCAGTTTATCGCTGTAATATGTGTTACCGCTGCCACAGATCTCCCCAACCCATTCCAGAGCTTTTCCTGCAGCCTGTCGTATAAAGTCAGTGCAATAGCTGCTGTCAGTCACTGAATATCCAGAGATTTTACAAGACAGAGTCAACACCTGACCAGGCCTCAAGACAATAGAATCTGTCTGGGTCAGTTCAACACAGTGGACACCTGAGAAAGAACAATGTCCTGAAAGGTTAGAGATGTGAAAAAGTTGTGATGTGATCATTTTTAACATTTCTATAGACACTGAACACTTACGAGAGACAGCTGCAAGAAGCAGAAATAAGCAGAGAGATGAGGCGATCATGGTTTCAGACGTTTGAGAACAAGATGTTGCTTTCCATTATAACATTCAATGAAAGAGGAGGAGGAAGATTTGCATACAGTTATGCATTTGCAAAACAGTAAATAAGCATCCAAAGTATCATTTAAAGTATGTACATTTTAGAATTGTGGGTTTTGTTCTCATTTTCCACTCTTCAGATGATGAAGTTGACATTATTATAAATAAGGGTGGATTGTTTGTTGAGACAAAATGAGGGCACGTTTAATGGCTTTTAATTAAGTAGCATTTCAAGAGTTCACACTTAGCTGATGATTGATTATAAGCAAGTTAGGCATGCTGTCCCGGGAGAGAGCCCTGAGCCCAAAAGGTCCGAGAGCCCTGGGCTCCCTCCCGTTTGCAGGGCGAGAGGGGAGCTTTGAGCTCAGATAGATCTCGACAACTCCCCCTTGATAAGAGCTGATGACTAAAATGATTGCTATGAAAAGATATGCTGCAGGATAAGACTGTAGTGCTAAATTTAGATTGATCAATTCATTTGTAGTGCATGTTATATGGAATGTGGGAGGAAACCGGAGAACCCGAGGAAAACCCATGCAGGCAAGAACATGCAAATCACACGCAGAAAGACCGCTGGCCTGTTAAAGGACTAGAACCGGTGACATTGTTGCTGTGAGGCAACAATGCTAACCACTGGGCCACCGTGCCGCCCTATGAAGGGAAAGGTGGAGAAGTAGGGGTAGGGGGATTCTTTAAATCGAAGATGACTGTAGTGAGGAACCCTGGCTCTTTATAGTGGGTTAGGAATCGTCTGATTAGTGGATCATACATGCTAATGCAAGACCAGCTGTGTCTAATCTCCAATCATAAGCAAGTGATCCTCAATTTATAAATAATTCACTTAAAGAGACAGTTCACACACAAAAAAAAAATTCTCATTGTTTATTCATTCTCCACTTGTTTTTTTTCTTCTGTTGATCACAATAAAGGATTTTGTTTTAAACATTGAAAACTGTTAATCCTTGACTCCTGTAGTGTCTTTGCCCTTATTATGACATTAATGTCTGTTTTTCAACACTCCTCAAAATATCTTCTTTTCTGTCCAAGATAAAAGGTTTACAATCAGATGAGGTGACAATATTTTTTTTATTATTAATTTGAGGTAAATTATCTCTTTAAATAGCTTATCTTTTTTACAGTATTTCAGGAACAAGTCTTTCTTGTTTCTTATATATATAAAGTTGTGCTCCAGCGTCATCTGCTGGTTTTGAGGGTGTTTTTCCCTGTCATGTTTTTGTACAGTCTGGTGCTTATTTTTGTATCATTGTGTGTATCTTGCACAGTAATAAACAGCTGAATCTTCAGTTTTCAGACCAGAGAGTTTAAGATACACCATGTTGTTTGAGTTGTCTCTGGTGATCTCTATTCGTCCCTCAACACTTTTTGCATACACTGTTTTACTGGCATCATACCAGATAACCCCAATCCAGTCCAGTGCTTTCCCTGCAGGCTGTCTGATCCAGTGCATGCCATACTGTCCAAAATCAAATCCAGATCCTTTACAAGAGAGATTCAAAGTTTCTCCAGGCTTTTTAGTCACAGAACTTGAAGGGATGGACTCCAGACTCTGACCATTTACACCTACAACAACTGAAAATTACAATGACCTGTCAGCATAATCATATACAGTACATTCATTACAGAAATGTGTGGCCAGAATAGATATTAATATATATAAAATAGACTGTCTATACATACTAGTAAAGCACAGCAGCAGAAAAAAGAAAAGAGAAATGTTTGCCATTGCAAATGATGCAGGAAAACAAACTGATAAATGTCAGTGAACGCTGCAGGTAGAAAAAATGTATATAATCTCATTTACATCTGGGTGGAGCTTCAAAGTCTAATATTAAGATCTTACAGTACTGTAGGTTAAAACACAATCACTTCTACATTTTTACAATATTTAATGTTCGTTGCAGCAATTTTCTAAATCATTCTTAAATGAGAACATTCAAAGCTTCAGTTATTGTTGTTTTTCATTATTTAGGAGATGACTTACATTTCTGTAATTCCAATTCCCATTTCTGTTTTATTGATTATCATACCCACATCATCATACAGACATAAACATAAGAATCCCCCAGTTTATCAGTTATCAGTTCAAAAAATATTAAGCATCCAATTAATGTAAAACACAACCATTTTATGTAGTAAGTAATGCTTAGTAAGATAATTCGACATATTTTTTATTAGATTTTGTTTTAGTTCTGTAAACACTTATCATGTTTTAATGTCTTTATTATATGTTTTACTGAATGATTATTAGTTTATTTCATTCTTAGTTTTATTTCAGTACTAATCAAAAAATGATTCCTTAACAAATTGCTGTAATTGATGTTCATTCATTTTTTTGTACTGCTTAGTTATTTTATTAATTTGAGGTCACCACAGCGGAATGAACTACCAACTTATCCAGCATACGTTTTACACAGCGGATGCCCTTCCAGCTGCAACCCATCTCTGGGAAATATCCATACACACTCATTCACAATTTAGCCATATTCACCTGTACCACTAGTACATTGGACTGTGGGGAAAACCGGAGCACCCAGAGGAAACCCCACAAATGCGAACATGCAAACTCCACATAGTAATGCCAACTGACCCAGCCAAAGCTCGAACCAGCAACCTTCTTGTTGTGAGGCGACAGCTCTACCTACTGCTCCACCAAGTCACCTGTAATTAATGTTATATGTCAAATTAATGCTTGAGTAACTTTAGTCTGACTGTACATTGCAAAAGATTACAGCTCTTCATTGTACTGTTCGATTACACCAAATATACACACAGTTAGGTCTATAAGTCTGTTCTCATCATATGTCAGTTTCTATTTGTTACTTAATGTTACAAATTTTCAATATTAATGACCACACATATATATACATAACCAAAAAGTTGTTTAATAATATTAATATGAATGAGTTGAAGAGGAATGTTTGTATTGCTGTAGTGCAGTTTATCTCCGAGACTTTCTGTTTTTGAACAGAGCTGCTTGTGTTTTGTATCTCTGTGGTATCTCTCTCTGGCGCAGTAATACACAGCTGTGTCCTCAGTCTGCATATTCTGTCCACTCAGAGTCTCCGTGTTGCTGGAAGTGTGTTTGGTCAATATAAATCTACTATTCAGTTTATCATTATAATTTGTGTAGCCATTGGCACCAATCTGCCCAATCCATTCCAGAGCTTTTCCTGCAGCCTGTCGTATCCAGTGGGTCCAGTAGCTGCCATCAGTGACTGAATATCCAGAGATTTTACAGGACAGAGTCAAAACCTCACCAGGCTTTAATACAATAGAGTCAGTCTGGGTCAGTTCAACACAGTGGACATCTGGAGGGGGAAGTTGCATGTTTAAAGAAATTATGACTTTTTGTGAAGCCTTTTTAATCATTTAAGTATCTTCATTGTATAAAATATGAAGACTTACAAGAGACAGCAGCCAGCAGCAGATATAGACAAAAGGCAGAGGAGACCATGGTTAGAGATGTTGTGTGAGAATTAACTGCTTCTTTCTATCTTAACTCAAATACACTTCTCACATACAGGGGAGGAGGAATATTTGCATATTAATTTTTGCATTTCTCAGTGCCTCATTAGATCATCAGAGCCTTGAATATGCTTAAATTACAAGAAAAAAATACATTAGTTTATTATGCTATAAGCCTTAAGCATGGCAGACTGGACAATATTATTGCTGTCATGACTGGTTTTCTTTATTTGTTTTGTTCATACCATCAACACAATCACAGTGTTAACACTGTGCATATTTACAGTACATATGAATAATCATTAGTGAATAGAGTAATCATTAGAGTAAATATATATATCACTTTTATAAGTAGTAAAAAATAGCTTGTATTTGACTAAAAACCATATGTTTGGTTGTCCAGTAATAGAATGCTACATTTTATTCACAATTAAATATAGTCAATGGTGTTGCATTAATACGATTTACTCAAGAAATAGGTCAGAATGAACCTGATCTCATCCATTATTCATATTCTTTCCAACAATGCCACTAACTTCTGAAAAGTTTCTATTAGTTGTGAAGTGAGCAGCTTTGATCACGTTGGTTTTGAATGGTTTTTCCGTGTTTCAAGCATACAATCATTGCTCTTTAATGTGCATTTATCCCCATTGGAAAGCTTATGTGAGATTGAGTGTCTGTGTTTAGTATTATGGAGCTCAGTCTTGAGCATTTGCTGGAGAAATGAAATCATTTCTGGGACCAGAGCAGCATTTCTCAGTTTATATGCATTCATTCATACATTTTCTATTAGCTTAGTCCTTTATTTATCAGAGGTCACCACAGCAGAATGAACCCGCAACTATTTCAGCATATGTTTCACAGAGTATGATAGGATGCATTAGGTAAGTGAGATTAGGTCAGTGCAGAGTACTCCCCTATTCAGTGCTGAGGGCTGTAGCCTGTCGTGAGGCATGTTCTTAATTCCTCTACCTGTGTGGTTGGCTGGGTGGGTGTGTGTGCACCGGCAGTGGCTTCCGAGGTGCAGTTAGCATAGCGGTTTGCTAATTGCTTAGTGGCTGAGGGTGAATGCTGATCCTGTGCTGCATTCCAGCTTGCCTGGTTTGTGTGTGTGTGTTTTCGTCAATGTTTGAACTGATTGGACAGCTGACTGCTCCACTGTCAGGTATGTGTGTATTGAAACAGACATAGTGCCTGTCTCAGGGGCTTTGAGACCCACTCCTGAGTTTGCCCCGCTCCACCACAAGAGCAGATGCCCTTCTAGCTGCAACCCGGTATGGGAAACACACACACTCTTACACTATGGCCAATTTAGTTTATTCAACTCATCTAGCACATGTCTTTGGACTATGAAGGGAAAAACCGGAGCACCCAGAGGAAAACGGGAGAACATAAAAACTGCATACATAAATTTAACTTTGCAAATATAAAATATTCTGAGTGAAATAATACAGGTGACAAGTCAGATTTCATCTTGACTGAACATTATGTGAATGAGGAAGAGGTTTTTGTATTGCTTTGAGCTTGAACTCATTCACAGTGTCTCTTTAGCACAGTAATAGACAGCAGTGTCTTCAGTCTTGAGGTTGTTCATCTGCAGGTACAGCTGACTGCTGGAATCATCTCTGGACACTGTGAACCTTCCCTGGACTGACTGAGAATAGTAAATAGGAGAACTTTGTGTGCTGATGTATGCAATCCACTCCAGTGCTTTTCCAGGGCTCTGTCTGATCCAGTGTAAATAAAGGCTACTGAATGTAAATCCTGCTATTGAACATGTAAGTGAATGGGACTCTCCTGGTTTTTTAACCACAGCTTCAGACTGAGTAAATGTCTGACATTTAGTACCTGTAGATAAAAACAGCAGCATCAATGAAGATATTATAATGTGACAATGTTTGCTCTCTTAATAAATATTCTATGCAGAAACTTACATGATAAAATGCTCAGAATCATGAAAATATGAAACATTTTGACCCTGCGCGTGCTTAATCCAGAGAGATTGACTTTGTCTCCAGAATGTCTGTTCGGGAAAAAGCGCCAAGACATTTAAATAAGGAAGGTTGATTTACATATATTAAAATCAGAGAACTGGTTATTTATTAGGTGATGTGTGTTTGGTCCAGATTAGGTTTTTATTATGGTTAATATTTGAGATCTGCATGAATGAGGATAACCTTTTTTTAATTTCTGTAAGAAATAAAATATATCTTTGTGAATTTTTTTTGCTTTTACTTTCTTTAATAGATATTAATTAATGTTTTTAATCATGTAATATTAAAATATGCATAGAATAAAATTATGAAATGTTGAAGAATGAAATATAAAACATTTTAAGTTGAGACATTATTGCCATCTATTGGTGTTTGTGCAATACTGTTGTATACTGTGTAGCTAACTCACATAGACCTTATTTGACTGAAAGCACTTTAGTTCACTGACTGCCACACATCTGCAAATGAGACTCTGGTTTACTCCAATCAACAGTCAATAATAACAACATCAAAAGTGAAAAAAAAAAAAAACTCTATTGACCTTGAGCCTGACACAAACTTAAAGAAGTAATGGAGGCCAGCTAGTAAATGCTGTGCAGGTAAACCTCACTCCTCTGACCTCTAATGTGCTCTAGCTACAGACACTAGAGACCACGGTCATTAGCCTCCTTGGTAGAGCAACTGACTTCCGTGAAGATGGTCGCCGGTTGGATCCCAGCTAGAAACGGGTTGGGTGCTGTAGGAACGGCGGGGGGTCAATACCATGCAGGTGAATGCCTTTATTTACTTTTTGTTGACACAAATAATACTTTATATGTAAAAGCAGAAGAAAAAAAAACCTATATTTGTTAATTCATATGTACAATAGTGTTTTTGCACAGGGAGGCTGCTGTCATCTGTCACTGTGTACGTCTGGCACAATAATACACAGCTGTGTCTTCAGCTTTCATATTATTTCCTTGCAGTGTTATTGTGTTACTGGAAGTGTCTCTGGTGATGCTGAACTTGCTTTTCAGAGAATCCTTGTAGGCTAAGCTTCCATCATAGCAGATAATTCCAATCCACTCCAGAGCTTTTCCTGCAGCTTGTCGTATAAAATTTGTGCAGTAGCTCTCAGTCACTGAATATCCAGAGATTTTACAAGACAGCGTCAAAACCTGACCAGGCCTCAAGACAATAGAATCAGTCTGGGTCAGTTCAACACAGTGGACACCTAAAGAAAAAAAATGTCCTGAATTGTGAAAACATTTTGTATAATTTAATGGTTTTTATAGGCACTGAAGACTTACGAGAGACAGCTGCAAGAAGCAGAAACAAGCAGAGAGATGAGGTGATCATGGTTTCAGACGTTTGAGGACAATAAGCTGCGTTCCGTTATAACACTTAATGAAAGAGGAAGAGGAAGATTTGCATATACTTATGCATATGCAAAACAGTAAATAAGCATCCACAGTATCATTTTAAGTATGAACACTGTGGGCTTTGTTCTCATTTTACTCTTTTCAAAAGATGAAGTTGACATGATTATAAATAAGGGTGGATTGTTTATTAATACAAAATGAGGGCACGTTTAATGGCTTTTAATGAAGTAGCATTTAAGGAGACAATTCACACAAAAATACAAATTCTCTCATTGTTTATTCATCCTCACTCATAAATGTTGAAAACAGTTAGTCATTGACTCCCATAATGTCTTTTGCCTTATACTGACGTCAACGGTTTCCAACTATCCTCAAAATATCTTCTTTTCTGTCCAAAAGATAAGGTGTATAATCACATGAGGTGACAGTAAATAGTCATTTTTTATCATTATTTTGAGGTGAACTATTGATTTAAATAGCTTGTCTTTTTTAATACAGTATTTCAGCAGCAGGTCTTTTTTTTAATAAAAGTAGTTCTCCAGCATCATCTGCTGGTTTTGATTGTGTTTTTTTTTTTCTGTTTTCTTCTCTGGCATGTTTTGGTACAGACAGCTGCTTATGTAGTTCATGCAGTATGTTTTTGTGCTCTGTACAATTTTATCTTTTATAGTTTTGTCCTGTACACTGTATTTTTTAAGTATAATGCAATAGGATCATGATGCTGTGAAAGGGCCAGTGTTGGTGTATTTTCTCATTGGGTTGTGTTTTATGGATTTTTCATTCTCTGCTGCCACCTGTTGATCTCCAGTGAGGAGAGATGAAACACTCACAGTGGTTTTTGTTCTGCTCTACAAGATCTTTGTGTCACTGTGATTGTCTTGCACAGTAATACACGGCTGAATCTTCTGCTGTCAGGCCTGATAGTTTCAGATATGTCATACTCTTGAATTATCTCTGGTGATTTCAGCTCTTCTTTTGAAGGATTCAGCATATTGGCCAGTGTATCCAATCCACACAAGAGGTTTTCCAGCTTGTTGTCTGATCCAGTTCATGTAATAGGAGCTAAACGTCAACCCAGATCCTCTACAGGACAGAGTCAGAGTTTCTCCAGGCTTTCTCTGAACTGAGCTTTCAATCGACTCCATACTTTGACATTTTAAACCTAAAAAAAAGACTGATTTAATTTGTAATATGTTTATTCTAGAACTGTCTATAGATCTTTATGTAAAACTCACACTGTAGACTGAATGAGAGCAGCAGTAAGCAGAGAGCATTCTTCATCTTGAAGCTGCTGATGTAAATGATCCTGATCCAATCAGAAGCACTTAAATACTAAACAGATGAGCAAGGTTAACTGAATTTGCATTGCAGGGGTTACAAAGTGAGAACACGACTTAAGGGAGCAGCGTGAATGATGAAAATCTGGTTTATTATGTTAAATTTAGAATATTGTGACCAATGCAGTGTGAATAATGACCACTGTTTTAACATGTTTGTCCATGTTTTTGTGTTAATGAAGTAATTGACACTTTGGGATGTTTTTTTCACACAAGAATTCATGACATGTCATTGTTGATTATTACTTCTTAACTCATCATTTGTTCATATTATATTAATATCAAATTTAGATTTTAGATTATGATTATTTATGCTGTTCATGGTACATTGTTTAAGAGCTGTCACTATAAAACTCTTAACTAGAAAGACTACATTCACCACAGATGTGTGGTTATCACTGAGGTTTTAAATATTTGCCCTTTAGTCTTCATGTAGGACAGATGTATAAAAAACAAACACGCAATATTTTACCACAGCATGACATATAATGCTGAATTAAAGTGAAATTTACCTACCCTTTTCTTGTTCCAAGCCTATTTGAGTTTCTTTCATGTGTTGAACACAACAGTAGATATTTTGAAGCAAGCTGGAAATGTGTAACCATTAATTTCTGTTTCTTTAAATAGACAATGACAGCATTTTCAGTTTTAGTAAACTATACCTTTAATTTATGATTTAATGAAGGGTTAAAATAGCCTAAAATGGTTCAGTTTAATAACATAAAAATTATTTAGTCAAGTCAATGTTTATTTGAAAAGTGCTTTTAGGGGCAACCACTGCTAGAGCAGTTTTTCTTTTTAACCATGCGTGGAACAGCCAAAAGTAACTGATTAGCACATATAAGTGCCCTTAATAGAATACAAATTTGGACTTAAAAAAATTGAGGTGGCACAGTGGCTCAGTGCTTGGCACTGTCGCCTCTCAGCGCTATAGGTGAATTGAATAAACTAAATTGGCAGTAGTGTGTGTGAATGTGAGAGTGTATGGGTGTTTCCCAGTGCTGGGTTACAGCTGGAAGGGCATCCCATGCCTAAAACATATGCTGGATAAGTTGGTGGTTCTTTTCGCTGTGGTGACCCCTGATGAATAAGAAAAATGAATGAATGAACTTTGAAAAAAAAATACAAACTGTAGCAAAGTGTCTGTGAAGAGGTAATGGTCAACCTAGACATACAAACATTTAGTCCATTAACAGCTTGTGACTATTGAGTAAACGTGATTTTAAGCAATAGGATAAAAAGATAATATCTGTCATAATTTCTTCACTGTCTTGTCCTTGAACCTTTCTTTAATAAACACGAAATAAAAATGTTTAAGCTGTTTTTGTTAACATAATGAAAGCCATTATACTAACAAAAATTATGGACACCTGAATATCCCAAAAATATGAAGAGATTTTTAGAATTTTACATAAAGGACAATTTTCAGTATGATTAAAGATGGATTGGAAGAACATAAATGTCATGAAAATATTGAAATCTCTGTTTAGGTTTGTTAACAATGCATCACATGCATTAGACCACAATTGTGGCTATTCTGCCAATTGGGCCTAATGTTGGTTTCCTGCACTTTGGGCTGTATATAAGTCATACTGTTTATTAGATTATAAAAGCCATCTACTTGTCCCTAAACCTGAAAAATAATTCTGCTCTTTTAAGTCAGACAATGGAAGATTTTCAGTTTGAAATTCCACAATTTGAAGTACCAGAAGTGGATTTTTGTGAGGAGATGGATGTGGAGATCCCTGAAGATGAAGAGTCTAATCTATCATCCAAAGACTCGAAAATCAAACCATCAAAGTCCTTGCAAAATAAATGTAAAAGACTACTCGTTCTTCTCTGTGCTGGCAATCACCTTCTGCAACGTCCTTTTTCTAGGCCACAGGTGTCAAACTCAGTTCCAAAAGGGCCGCAGCTCGGCACAGTTTAGTTCCAACCCTAATTAAGCACACCTGATCAAACTAATTGAGTCCTTCAGGCTTGTTTGAAACCTACAGGTAAGTGTGATGGAGCAGGGTTGGAACTAAACTCTGCAGGGCTTCGGCCCTCCAGGAATTGAGTTTGAGTTTCCAGGCACTATGGCAATGATATGCTTCTTTAAGGTAAAGATTATGCAAAAATATGCATTGTGTTTACACTGTATGTTTTTTTTTTCACAACTAAACTAAAAATTAAAAAGATTAGGCATTTTTGAGCAAAGCCATCTACTACTTAAAGGAACATAATGAATTATGCTTTCCCTTATTTTTATGACCAAATGGCAAATAGACATTGTGAACATTTTCACTTTTTATTATTCTTCCAGGCATTGAACAGGAAATGAAAGAAAGATGTAAAAGGAGCAAAAAAGTTCAGCTTATGTGCTTTGTTTGCCAATATTTGTGCCCTCCTTGCAACCCTTATATTTTTGTTGCTCAAACAATTTACACCTAACTTTGAGCCTGACACGAACATAAAGGAAAGTCAATATTATGACAGATGAATGCCTTCATTGACTTCCTGTTGACACAGATAATACTTTATATTTAAAAGGCTGTTTTAAAACAAAGAGAAACATAATTTTCCCTAATTTATATGTACAATGATGTTTTTGCACAGGGAGGCTGTTGTCCTCTATCATTGTGTATGTCTGGCACAATAATACACAGCTGTGTCTTCAGCTTTCATATTCTTTCCTTGCAGTGTTATTGTGTTACTGGAAGTGTCTCTGCTGATGCTGAACTTGCTTTTCAGAGAATCCTTGTAGGCTAAGCCTCCATTATGGTAGATAACTCCAATCCATTCCAGAGCTTTTCCTGCAGGCTGACGAATCCAAGCTGTGTGTTCACTAGTGACTGAATATGAGACTCTGCAGTTGATAGTGAGAGAGTCATCAGGACGTACAGTCAGAGACTCAGGCTGAGTGAGTTCTAATGAATCAACATCTGTATCAAATGAAATAATGCAGTTAGTAAGACAGTGTCAATTTTAAAGACTCTTAACATGTGTATTAGCAACAAAAACTCACAGGATACCACTGCCAGAAACAGCACTAGAGATGAAGAGATCATGGTGTTTCACCACACAGTTTGACTGAAGTCAACCTTCTCTTCCTCCAGTGGTCAGACCAGTGTATAAATATGCAACAGATGATTTACATAAACACACAGCTGTTAAATCAACTCTACATGATTAAATAAATGTGTTGTAGGATGTCATGTATTTATATTATTAGAGAAATAAGAACTCTACACACTGTTCATTCTTACTAAACCTTTTTTACTGTTTTCCTCACATTCTTAAACTTTTTTAGGTGTTGGTACACCTAATACATCGATAAAGAACATTTAACAGCAAGATTAAACACTTTTGTGTGCGAATAATTCATTTTCCATTCAAGATGAACACCTACTTCTCATGCATAAGACTGTTGTGTTCTTCATCATCACTTTATCATCATATTCTGCTTGCTTCAAATATACTGCCTCTGTAAAATGTGTACAGGAACCTACAAATCTGCACACCATGCAATAGTTACAGTACAGTAGTTATGTTGCAGTTCATGCAGTATGTTTTTGTGCTTTGTACAATTCTATATTTTATAGTTTTGTCCAGTACACTGTATTTGTAAAAGTAATGCAATAGGTTCATGATGCTGTGAAAAGGCCAGTGTTAGTATAATTTCTCATTGGGTTGTGTTTTATGGATTTTTTATTCTATGCTGCCACCTGTTGACAAGAGATGAAACACTCACAGTGGTTTTTGTTCTGCTCTACAAGATCTTTGTGTCACTGTGATTGTCTTGCACAGTAATACACGGCTGAATCTTCTGTTGTCAGGCCTGATAGTTTCAGATATGTCATACTCTTTGAATTATCTCTGGTGATTTCAGCTCTTCCTTTAAAGGATTCAGCATAGTCATTGCCACTGCCATCACTATAAACACGTCCAATCCACATAAGAGGTTTTCCAGCTTGTTGTCTGATCCAGTGCATGTGATAGGAGCTAAAGGTGAACCCGGATCCTCTGCAGGACAGAGTCAGAGTTTCTCCAGGCTTTTTCTGAACTGAGCTTTCAATCGACTCCATGCCTTGACCATTTATACCTACAAAAAGAAAATGCGGAATTAATTTGTAATCCGTTTATACTAGAACTGATAATAGATGTGTGTTTTATAAAAATAAAAAAAAACTCACGCTGTAGACTGAATGAGAGCAGCAGTAAGCAGAGAGCATTCTTCATCTTGATGCTGCTGATGTAAATGATCCTGATCCAATCAGAAGCACTTAAATACTGAACAGATGAGCAGAGTTGACTAAATTTGCATTGTGATGGTCTAAAAGTGCAGTCATGACTGAAGAGCAAAGTATTTAATAACATTCATTCATTTTCATTCGGCTTAGTCCCAGTAGAATTAACTATATGTTTTACGCAGCGGGTGCCCTTTCAGCTGCAACCCAGTACTGGGAAACATCCATAGACTCTCTCATTCACACTCATGTACACTACAGGCAACTTAGTTGATCCAATTCACTAATACCTATTTTTGGACTGTGGGGGAAACCAGAGCACCCGGAGGAAACCCTCATGAACAAGCAAACCCCATGAAATGCCTTCTGGCCGGGATTCGAACCAGCTACCTTCTTTCTGTGAGGTAACAGTGGCAACTTCTGAGCCACCATCCCGACTGTATTCAATAACAGAATTAAAAAAAAATATATAACCAATGTAGCATTCTATTTTAACAGCCCAACAATAGAATCTAATGAATGGTTGAATGTTAAAAGCATGTCACCCTTTTCTGGGATTAGTGATTCATTTTTTTTTGACATAAAATTCAAAGTATAGGTTTTTATGACTAATACACAAACTCATCTGTAAATAATGATCATCTTCTTGCTTACGTGTCAGTACATGTTCGTTGTTAATGCATTAACACACACAGGAATTTATGATGTCATAGTTTAAGATTCTTGATTAGAATCTTGATTATTATTCGATTTATTAAAGTAATATTCATTTATTCATAATTACTGCCCTTATTAATCGGGGTCGCCACAGCGGAATGAACTGCCAACTTATCCAGCATATGTTTTACGCAGCAAATGCCCTTCCAGTCACAACTCAACACTGGGAAACACCCATATATTCTCATTCACACACATACACTGCACCGCCTTAAAGAAATATATGCCTGCAACACTGCACCGCCTTAAAGAAATATATAATTTAGATATTCCATAACTAATGTAATGTTCATAGTACATTATTTGAGAGTTAATTCGATGACTGACAATCTTTCCTGCTTGCACTATAATAAGCTTAACTTATTAAACTATCAACCATAGCGCATGTATGAAACTCAACATACACCACAGATGTGAGGTTAGTCTTTATTTGGGACAGGTGTAACAACAAAGCCCCCAAAGCCCCCCCCTTGCAACGCCCCTGAGCACACAATGTTTTACCACATTAGGAGCATGACATACTTTCCCATAATAACTATTGTTCAGTTTAATTACATAAATATAATGTGGATATAGAATATAATTGTGGACTAAATATATATATATATATATATATATTACACAGGCCTGTATAGCCAGCCTAATGAAAGGGGTGGTTCTTTTTTCTCAAAAAAGTGGACAGTTTTACAGTTATTCGCCTCATTTTCTATTTAATTATGAGGTTTAAATACTACGTTTTAATGACATTTCAAGCACTGTTTTGTTTAAATAGCTTGTCAGCTGGTCATCAGTCAAACTTTTTGATGTGCCAAAACATTTCCTTAATGATTTTGGGGGAAAAAAACATTCTTTAAAATACTAATTTATTACATGAGTTGTCATTAAGAAAAAAAAACTTTTTTTAAATTTTATTTTATCAGGCAAAAAACAATCTGGCCAGCACATTCAGTTTTTCTTTGTAAGAATATGTCCATTTGAATAAATAAATAAATAAATAAATAAATAAATAAATAAATAAATAAATAAATAAATAAATAAATAAATAAATAAATAAATAAATAAATAAATAAACAAACAATAATACAATGAGGAAACTGATTGCAACAAACCATTTAAGTTTGAAAACAAATCTTAAAGAGTGTGAACTTGATCCAATTAAGTAAATACAGCAATTTGTGCACAGTAAAACCCAATAAATGAAGAGAACTCAAATCAACTGAGCACTGTAAAACCCAATAAGTTAAGGCAACTTAAACCGTTTGAGATAACCAATTGCTACAAATCATTTGAGTTAAAAAAATAATTTATATGAGTACTGTGAACTTACTCCATTTAAGTTGAAGTAATGAGTATTTAATTAACTTTCATTTTCATTTCATTGAATAAAGTTGACGTAGGGTTTTACAGTGTAATAATGTAGAGCTTCAATTTTTTTCTAGATTTTTTCTTGTAAAAAAAAAATAATTAAAAGTTAATAGATATTAATAGCCTGATTATTATTAAAATTAACTTAATTAAATATGGGCCGCTTTTGGTGCCCCAAGTCTTTTTTATTGATAATTTTTTTTTGTTTCATGAATAAGGTTCAAGATTTAGAATAAAAGTTCCTTGTAAAATTTCTCTGTTTAACAACAATACAGTAGGTCAGTACAGTAAAATATGACAACTTTCATCAGATTGTATGTTTTCTTACACAAATGTTGGGCTCATTATTTTTGCTATTTTCACAATTGATGACGGAATATAGCAGTCAACCTTGTTGCCATTTCGTCACCTTGGAATTATAAGGTTTAATCTGCGTTCTAAATGATTTTGAAATATTGAGCTTCAAAGTTTTTGCATTCCATATGGCAAACAGTATGTGTGTAACATTTGTTTTTTAAAATGTAAAAAACTTATAAAAAACATTCCATAATGTAAATAAGTTGTCATTTACAGTTTTTTCCAATTGTTTACACAGATTTTCTGAATGTGTCTCATATTGTCAGAACTCTACACACAAATCACAAAAACACACACACACATTTCTTCTCTAAATGGTCTTTTGTTTTCAAATGACACACACAGGCCATCACATCAATAGACATTTATAAGAACCAGTTGATCACCGATATGCTTAATGTAAAACACTATGACCACTTCTTCATTCATCATAAGGACTTACTGTAAGCATTTTTTTGTTCAGTGTTACACTTACTACAGACATATAGGCCTACAGAAGTGCATTGTAAAATATTTCAGAATATTGTTTTATACGAAACAAACAAATACCAAATAAATTTTACTGTATTTTTCTCACAAAAACATAGTACACAGTGTTCATCTCAACCAACACAAAGTTGCACATGGTCTACATATGCCATCAACAGAAGTATTTACAGAATACAGTTACAGTAAAAAAAAAAAACAGCTATACTGCATTCTCTTTTCTGTTTTGGTCTGGCCAAGAAGTGGGGGAAATGTCACCTTGCATGGCGAAGCCAGCCATGAAAAGCATCAACTGCTATATCTTGGAGAAGGGGTATACGTGTGTGTGGATTTCGGTCATACACTTTCCATCTCCAGGCAGAAAAAAAAATTCTCAATAGGTTTGAGAAATGGAGAATATGGAGGGAGATAAACAACCAAAAATCGTGGGTGGGCAGTAAACTAGTTGTGAACAAGATGAGCTCTGATTTCTAAGTTGCAATTCTGTGTGACAGGTGTTTACTCATGTGAGGAGTTAGTATGCCAAGTAGGGAAACTGACTTTACAAATCTGAATGACAGTGTGTTCCTTGTGAAAACAAAAGCTTTCTGCATGAAAATTGTGCAAAATGCAAAGAATTGTGTGTAGTGTTTTAAAAAAAAGTGTGTTTTAAACCTGCAATTTGGGTGTAAAGCAGGAACTGTGCTTGTAGTTTAACAGAATTGTTTCAGGGGGTTGGTGCATCAGTTACATGTTGTAGTCATTGTGTCTGAAGTACAAGTAATTGTGTGTCAACAACTAAGAAAAACTGTAATAATAATATGTCAATATCTCAATTTTGAAAAAAATGTCAGATGGAACATTAAAATTCTAAGGTGACCATATTTGGCAGAGTGTCTGTGTTCCTGGAAGGGGCAATGTTCAACCTTAACAAGCAACCATTCAGTCCAATCTTGTGAGCTTGGTTTCAACTTTAAAAAAAAAAAATTATTTCAGCTGTAAGTAAAACAGTTTGTTGAGAATAACTTAGATGTTTTCATCAACATATTAAAAAGCCAATATCCCCACAATAATTACAGACACCTAAACAAAAAAAAATATATAAGACATTTTTGAAACAATCTTCTTCTTTGTTTCGCATAAAGTACAGTTTCAGTAGTGAAATTGGTTGAAAATAACATTTAAAAGACGTCATGAAAATATAACATCCCTGTTTTAATTGTGTTACCAATGCATTTCATTACACCACAACTGTGGCTTTTCGGTCCTATTGGCTCTAAAGTAGGTCTCCTGCTCTTTGGGCTCTATATAAGTCATGTATACCATACAAAATCATTTATGACATTATATGAGCCACTTGTCCCTAAACCTGAAGAACAATTCTGCTCCTTAAAGTCAGACAATGGATTTTCAGATTGAAGCTCCAGAAATTGAAATTCCAGAAATTGAAGTTCCGGACGTGGAATTTTGTGAGGAAATGGACGTGGACTGTGAGATGGAGGCTGACAACGCAGAGGGCAATGAAGGGGGCATAGAAGTAGAATTTGAGATTAAAAAACGTCCTTGTCAAACACCTCGCAATCCAAACCAGAAAATCCAGCACAAAAGTCAAAGTCCTCGCAAAGTAAATGTAAAGGACTACTTGTGCTTCTCTGTGCTGAGCATCACCTTGTTCAACTCCCTGTTTCTGGGTACAGCTGCAATGTGTTTCTCCTTAAAGGTAAGAAATATATAACAATGTTATTTGTTGAATTGTTGTTGAATTATTGTGAAAAGTTAAACGTTTAGTGTGTGTGTGTGTGTGTGTGTGTGTGTGTGTGTGTGTGTGTGTGTGTGTATGTGTATGTGTGTGTGTGTGTGTGTGTGTGTGTGTGTGTGTGTGTGTGTGTGTGTGTGTGTGTGTGTGTGTGTGTGTGTGTGTGTGTGTGTGTGTGTGTGTTTTCCAGGCACTGAACAGAAAGTTGAAGAGAGATGTCAAAGGAGCAAAGAAATTCAGCTGTTTAGCTTTGGCTGCCAATATTTGTGCCGTCCTTGCCACTATCTCCACCATAATTGGTGTTGCTGTTGCCATTTCACTTACTCATTATGGTCACCATAAACGTGGTCAATGTTATGTCATTTAAATGTTTCCACTTAGAGTTGTTTAAAGGACAGTGACAAAGTATTGATTGAAAATTACAATTATTTAGTTTTGTGGAGGTGGACTGTTTAGTGGTGTGGGAATAAACATTTATATATATAACTGAAAAGTTGTTTTCAGGGTGTGACAGACATTAAAATGTTTTGGTTTCCTGAGCCCTGACGCTCTCCAAAGTAATACAAATTGTCAGTTTTTGCAGCACGGCTGTGTCTATTGTTTTCTCTGTCTCCAGAACATCATTTGCACAATGATTTAATGCTAAAAATGTATCGTGAATGGGTACTTATATGCTGATGAGATCGGGCCTGGGAAGGCATGTTACCCTGCCGACAACAACACTTCATTTTCATGCTTTGTTTTAGACTGTTCCCATCTACATGTATCAAATGTATTTAAACTGAGTGTTTGTTGTACCAACAGACAGTTTATTTCGATGACGCCACAGCCACGCTGAGTTCTTCTTATTAAAGGATTCTGCTTTGAAGACAACCAAAAGTTCTCCCTGTTTTTTTTTGGGGGGGGGGGGGGCTCGTCTTAGAATTTACCAACAGTTTGGTGCCGTAAGCCAGACTAGAGAAATTCACAACAGTGGACAACTTTACTTGTATTCCATTACACCCTACTGATATATGATGGGAACTGCAGCTTTACACTGTCTGCCGCATCTTTATAGACCAGTTTTTGTATCATTGCTGCAAACATCTGTTTCACGGTGCTTGTTTTGCACAGTAATACACAGCCGAGTCCTCCTCTGTCAGTCCAGACAGTTTCATATACATCATGCTTTTTGAATCATCTCTGCTGATTTCCAGCCTCTCCTTAAAGGATTCTGCCTTATGCCCATTTCCAGAACTGTATCCCAGACCCATCCACACAAGAGGTTTTCCAGCTTGTTGTCTGATCCAGTGCATGCTACAGCAGTCAAAGCTGAACCCGGATCCTCTACAGGACAGAGTCAGAGTTTCTCCAGGCTTTTTCTGAACTGAGCTTTCAATCGAATCCATGCCTTGACAGTATAAACCTGTAAAAGAGAAGCCGGATGTTTTTTTATTTGTTTTTACTCTTACATATTTTATTTATAAATCTACGTTAAGAACTCACCATTTAGATTGAACAAAAGTAATAATAAAGTTAATTTCCTCATCTTGTGAGCAATAATGAGCCTCTATAGCATCACTTGATTTAGCAACACTAAATACTTGTATCATGCTTTAATTTGCATAATGAGGAGGATACCAATGAGATGATTATTACCCATGTTTACAAAGATGACAGACTGACACATATTACATTTGTAAAATTTAATATTTGGTTGAAATACTTAAATCTTCAGAGAACCTTCATGAGTATATACAGTTGAAGTCAGAATTATTAGCCCCTCTTATTTATTAGCCCCCCTGTTTATTTTTCCCCCAATTTCTGTTAAACCGAGAGCAGTTTTTTTCAACACATTTCTAAACATATTAGTTTTAATAACTAATTTCTAATAACTGATTTATTTTATCTTTGCCATGATGACAGTAAATAATATTTTACTAGATATTTTTTAAGACACTTCTATACAGCTTGAAGTGACATTTAAAGGCTTAACCAGGTTAATTAGGCTAACTAGACAGGTTAGGGTAATTAGGCAAGTTATTGTATAACGATGGTTTGTTCTGTAGACTGTAAAAAACAAGCTTAAAGGGGCTAATAATTTTGACCTTAAAATGGTGTTAAAAAAATAAAAACTGCTTTTATTCTAGCCGAAATAAAACAAATAAGACTTTCTCCAAAAGAAAAGATATTATCAGACATACTGTGAAAATGTCCTTGCTCTGTTAAACATCATTTAACTATAAATCTAAAAAAATGCTAATAATTCATTAGTCCCTTTATTAATCCGGGGTCGCCACAGCGGAATGAACTGCCAACTTTTCCAGCACGTTTTTATGCAGCGGATGACCTTCCAACCGCAACCCAACTCTGGGAAACATCCACAAACACTCATTCACACTCATACACTATGGACAATTAAGCTTACCCAATTCACCTGTACTGCATGTCTTTGGACTGTGGGGGAAACCAGAGCACCCAGAAGAAACCCACGCGAACGCAGGGAGAACATGCAAACTCCACACAGAAACGCCAACTGAGCTGAGGCTCGAACCAGCAATCCAGCAACCTTCTTGCTATATATCTTCCTATATATATACATTTGTATTCATATTTTTATTAGATTGAATGAATTGTGCATTTTTAATCATATTTTCAATACATTTTCATACTTTCAACATAACCGCTACATTATGTTGTGAGTCAGATTGACTAGTTTTAGATTATATATTCTTAAAATATATAAAAATACATAAAAAATGTATTTATAAAAATGTTTGAGGACTATTGTTGTTAAAGTCTTATCTTTTTGTGTGCTATAATTTTTAGATGACTTACATTGAGACCAAATCAGTTTGATCCACAACATAAAAATGACACTTAAACCTTGAACATAATACAAGGAGTAAAAGGTCAAACCATTATATGAATTAGATTGTTTGTGAATTTAACTACTTAGATTTTGAAGAACCCTAAACCTATGATTTTGAAAGAAATGTCTGATTACTGAATGATGAATAAAATAGCATATTCTGTGATAGTGAGTTTTCTATATTTGGTTGTATTCTACTGTGGCCTACTGACAGATGTGAGAACTGCAGTTTAAACCAGTATTTGTGTCATTGCCGCATACAACTGTATCGCTGTGCTTCTCTTGCACAGTAATACACAGCAGAGTCCTCTTCTGTCAGTGCAGACAGTTTCAGATACACCATGCTTTTTGAATTGTCTCTGGTAATTTCTATCCGTCCCTTAAAACTATTAGCATAGTCATGTCCTTGTGCATTATACCAGACACGACCCATCCACATCAGTGCTTTCCCAGGTTGCTGTCTAATCCAGTGCATGTTGTTGCTTCCGAAGGTAAATCCTGATCCCCTACAGGAAAGACTCAGAGTTTCTCCAGGCTTTAACACTGACTCAGATGAAATGGACTCCATATTCTGACCTCTCACTACTTCTGAAAAGTAAACACAAACATAAAGTCAGGTTAAATATATCTTTGCTGTTATATTTTGAGATAGTATTGACTTAATAATATTGATACACACTCGTTAAGGCCAATGAAAACAGCAGGTAGAGCAGATTGTTGTGCATCTTTAAGTCAGGAAATTGACCTCATATGAGATGCAGCGGAGATGATCTGATCATGTATAGGCCTATGCATGCCAAATGAAGTATGGTGACGTCATTTAGTCAGACAGCCAAACCTTTTTATTATTGTATCAATACATTTTGGGAGTGTGTTAAAATCAGGATTTCAGTTGTAGTTGTGGTTGACATGCATTTACACAATTCTTACTTTCTAAATGTACAGTTGAGGTCAGAATTATTAGCCCCCCTTTGATTTTTTTCTTCTTTTTTAAATATTTCTCAAATTATGTTTAACAGAGCAAGGAAATTTTCACAGTATGTATGATAATATTTTCTTCTTCTGGAGAAAGACTTGTTTGTTTTATTTCGACTAGAATAAAAGCAGTTTTAAATTTTTTATGAAATATTTTAAGGTCAAAATTATTAGTCCCTTTAAGCATTTTTTTCCCCCAACTGTCTTCAGAACAAACCATTGTTATAAAATAACTTGGCTAATTCCACTAACCTGCCTAGTTAACCTAATTAACCTAGTTAAGCCTTTAAATGTCACTTTAATCTGTATAGAAGTGTCTTGAAAAAGATCTAGTAAAATATTATTTACTGTCATCATGACAAAGAAAAAATCTATCAGTTATTAGAGATGAGTTATTATTAGGGTCAGATGGAATCTGCGGACGTTTTTTAGCTATTTCTGCAGAGAATTCTGGTAAAAATCTGCGGAATTATTTTGGGAGTATCCAGCGGAGTATCATAACTTAAACCTTAATATATTAAATAAAAAGTAATAAATTACTGAATAAAAACTGAATAAATTCAGATTTACACATTTCCTCAAGTAAATAAACAGAATTAATAATGGGCTAAAAATCTGCAGAAATCTGCGGAAAATCTGCGGAATTCTGTGCGCGCAGATTCCATGTGGGCCTAGTTATTATATAAATAAGTATTAAATAAAACTATTATGTTTAGTAATTCGTTGAAAAAAATATTCTCTCTGTCAAACAGAAATTGGGAAAAAAATAAACAGGGGGGCTGACTTCAACTGTAGATTAATGAATAGTAACAGATTTCACAACATTATTTATAGCGGCTTTATACATGTTATTGTTAAAACTAAAAACATAAAACTATTATCACTGTACAAATAACTTAAAAAACTTAAAATACAATTTCTAAAATGAAAAAATAACATAGGTAGATATGTTACTATTTAGATATATCTATCTGTAAATATTGTTACAAATTGTACACAAATTTAAATTAAACACAAAATATAAAATATCAAAACTAATTGAAACTTTAATATTTACTCGATACTAAAGTAAATTCGACTTACAGCAGCCCTTCATTTGTTAATCTACTTTTAAAAGTATTAGCTTTTTTTTGAAGACTTCATAAATGGAAATATACTCTAAAATATAGATTAAACACACCAATACTGATTTTGATAGTTTTTAGGTAAACTAAAGTATAATTAATTAGACCTAAGTTACATCAAATCAATTGAGCTTTAAATGTCTAAATGTAGGTTATAATATACACAAAACTGATTTTAAATGTTATTAAGTAATTACTAAAACTCTTAACTCTTAAACTATTGCAGTATGATTCGATCAACATATCCAGTTGATATATAAACCATAACATTTCAAATATTTTAATTTATTAAATTGCTCTTGAAAAAATATAATTTTATGAAAATAACAAAGCGGAAACTCATGATCATGCATAACACAGAAACAAGTTTCAGGCCACTCAAAGGAGTCAAAATGAAAATTCCCTGGGGCAAGTCCCGAAACTATTTTTGCCCAAGAGAATACATTGCTGAAGCTTATTACAGCTCACTGAAACACGCTTAAACTAGTCAACCATTTAAGCGTTAAACCGCCTCATTTTGTTAGTCAAAACATCAACAGCTGTGCCATGCACCTGTGTATTAGCTTTTAATTATTAAAGCATGCTTTATTTTACACAACACAACTATTGAGAAACATAAAAGAGTAATAAAATAAAAAAAACAGATGAGCCACAACAGGGGTAGTCTAATATCACCATTAAGCAATTCCAGAATGTGAAATTATAACAAATCAAGCATTTTTATATCTTAATGTTTGATAAAAGATCAATTATGCTTCTCAATACTGTATGTCTCACCTTGAAAAACCTAACTAACTTGTTTACCTCAAAAAAGAATAAAATGCATCAATTAATTTCTGAATTTCTCTTTGATATTGAAATTATTTGAAAGCTATTTTCAGAACTTTCAAGATCATGTTCCTTTAAACAGTTAATTAATCTACCTTTTAAAGCCCACATGGGATTTTATTTCAGTTTAGTGGGTTAATTAGGCATGATTTTGTGTGAAATGTTTTATGCTATAAATTGTTATTTATTAATGTTATTTAGAGCATTTATTCATGTTTTCACTTTATGGAAAAAATCCATTTCTCTGAATAACAAGTATTTTCATTTCATTTTGTTGTGATTAAAAATCTGTGTTATGCTGCCAAATTTAGATTTTTTGACTCTTCTAAAGATTAAAGTTGATATTGTTGTCTAATATCTATTGAAAAAAATATCTGAACACATGTGACACCATTATTGTTATTTTATGCAACAACAAATTATACTGTAAGAGACATTTTATTTTTCCCAAATGATGTTTAACAGAGCAAGGACATTTTCACTGTATGTCTGATAATATGTTTCTTCTGGAGAAAGACTTATTTGCTTCATTGCGACTAGAATAAAATTATAAAATAAAATAATATTATTGTTTTTAAACATTTTAAGGTCAAAATTATTAGCCCCCTTTTATTAGCTATATATTTTTCGATAGTCTACAAAACAAATCATTGAATAACTTGCCTAATTACCCTAACCTGCATAGTTAACCTAATTAACCTAGTTAAGCCTTTAAATGTCACTTTAAGCTGTATAGAAGTGTCTTTAAGAAATATCTAGAAAAATATTATTTACTGTCATTATGGCAAAGATAAATCAGTTATTAAAAATGAGTTATTAAAACTTTTATGTTTAATAATGTGTTGAAAAAAATTCATGTATTGAACAGAAAATGGGGAGAATAAACAGGGGGGCTAATTTAAGGGGGCCTAATAATTTTGACTTCTATAATTGAGGGTACAGTACATCTGACATTTAAAAACATAATAATAAAAAACAAAAAACTTGTTATAAACAGCGATACTTTCCAGTATCTTACTGAAGACATTAATTTTAATAATTAAAAAAAATGTTTTGTTTTCTTTTAGGGAAGTTTGTTTATTTATTTATTTATTGTATAGTTTGTCAGCTCTCAAAGACAAATATGGTAATGTGTAGAAATAACTAACTAAAATCTATTTTTTCTTTACATTTCATCACTTGAAACCAAGATGATAATTTTCCTGTGGATGTGCATGTGTAAGAGAAGCACAAGCTCTCTTAATCTCACACATAGCCTATGTCTGTCAATTCTGTAACCATATAACAGAAACAGAATTTCAGCCAAAAGTACACTTGCTAGCAGAACACATGGCACTAATATGATCAAGATTAAAATTGTATAAATTGATCAACCTGTAATCGATACAATTTTCTGTTTTCCTTTAGAAATTGTGTTAGACTGTTAATAAGATAATTCTGTGTAAAATCTTTTTAAAATGGTTTATCAGAGGGGCGCACACATCTTCCAGTGCTTCAGGTCTTACCAGTGAGGAAACATTACATTATCTTTCTTTTGTGGGAGATAATTTTACCAATTTAAAGGTAAAATTTAAATTTAAAGTATGATGTGGGAACAGAAGTTATATATTAGTTAGATATTTTTTTGAATTTTCAAAAATATATGCACTGTTGTAGAATTAGGATAATTACAATTTCGCGCTTTAATATATAATAATAATAATAATACTGCCAAAAAATAAAATATTTTACACCATAGAACGTGACAGAAAATATTTTTTGGCAATATGAGACACATTTTACAAAAATATTGTATGTTATTGTATGCAGCATCTTGATCTATAAAATAAGTAATATTTTATAAATAATCAAAAATCTGACCATTTTAAAAGCTGTAAATAATGGCTTTGGACACCAAATGTACCTGTAGAATCACCCATATAGCCAAAATACAACAAAAATACTTTTTACTTAAACACATTATAAATTCAGATAAATTGAGAATTTTCAAGTGGTCTTGTAATGTTTTGTTTATGTTTTTGCACATGAGAACAAGAAAGTTTTTTTTTGTTAGTTTTTTGCTGTTTTTGACCTGAGATTTAAGCCAAACAGCAGGTTTTTCGGGCTGCAGTATCTAACTAAGATGCTAAACTCGACAAACCTGAATCTTCTGAATGAAAGGCGAAAACCCGGAACTAATTTGCACGTGGTAAAGTGAAAAACACTGGGTTGTATCGGTAAAGTGGAGTTACTTTCTGGGAAAGGTGAGTTCATACAACTATATTTATCGGCGTTATATGTAAAGATTGACACACTTGGGTAATCTTTGAAGGGCGGACTTACCGGACGCGTTTTGTATAAACATGCGAAATTGTTCAAAGATGTTCTCTATTTCCTGTTTGACACTGCATTGTAATGGTTTTGGCAATAAGCAAAA